GTGTAGAGGGTAGAACCTGAGGCGGGACCTCGTGTGCAAACTCTGACGTGCGGCTGTGATTTATAAAGGAAAGGTGCGGAGAAACGTGCGTACGCATGGTTTTATAAATCTGAATTTTTTTTTGGCGTACGCCATTTGCGCCTTTTGGCCATACATTCACTTTTAGTAAGGTTTCCACGCATTCCTTTATAAATGTGACCCCAGAACCTCTTCCTGCTGCTATTTTGTACTGAAAACCATGATTTTGATGCTTCTATATGGAGCTAAAAGAGTCTCAATATTCACAAATGCACACGAGTGATTCAAATGTGCACAGGATTCTCATACATCTAACCATTTTGTCTTTACCTACTCAAAGCCTTTTTTTTTCTTTATCAGAGATCTTACATTTATTGCAAAATTCAAAGGCTGTCTTCAAAGAATTTGGAAATTAGTTTGTGTTTTGCAGGTCTGGATAAGTAGAAAAAGCAGAAAATAAAGTAAGTTTTGAGGCTTAAACTGCAACAAAAGGCCATGTTTTTGTCTGTTTTAGTGTCAGTCTGTTAGCAAAATATCTCACGAACCTCTGAACAAATTTTGATTAAAGGTACTGATAGTAAACATTGGATACGTTCATAATTCAAAATGGCTGCAATAACCAGCTAATCTTACAACTAAAAATGGATACAACTCAGTTTTACTGATGCTGAACTAAAATTTGATGTGGTAGTAAGTGAGTCATTACATATCACTTAACTGATAAACATTTTTGTTGTTTTTATTTCCAGGAAGTCTTCAGATTTGGTATCACCTTCAGACAGACATGAGTCCAGACATGTTCAGTCCGGTCCTCAGTAACTTGGCAGATGGACGTCTCCATCGGATCAGAATCCACAGGGTTGGCAAAAACCTTTATGTGCAGGTGAGCAGTTAGCAGGTAGAATGTTTATGAAGAAATGTTAAAGGGTTCTGACAAAACGTTGTAATATAAGTTTGAAAAGAAATCCCTATATTTTGATGTGTATATTGTGAAAGAAGTGTAAAAAGAACCAAGATCAAAAGAAGTGATGAAGCTGCTGGAAGTAGTTCATTGTAGTCCCCATGGTAACCACTCGTATTACTGTCACTCCCTGACCTCCAAGTTCATGAGCATTAGAGACTGACTGAAAAGTAGGCCTCATACAAACATTCATTGTATGAAAAGTTAAATAAAAAAACACTTTACCCTTGAGTGACAGAAGAATGGTGGTCAATCATCATAAAATTACCAAAAAATGAATGGAAGTCAATGGAAAGTCCCCACAAGTATAAAGGAGCATGGTGTGTGTGTGTGCGTGCGTGCGTGCGTGCGTGGACACACTCAGCACAGCCATCCATTCTGAACCTGGAAATATTAACTTCATGCACAAGTTTATTAACATACATTAGGGCTGGGTGATATGGCAAAAAGTGGTCTGGATTAAATTTTTCATATTGTACATTCTCGATTATTATCACAATTGTTTTTTTAACCTAAAAAGTGTGTTAATATATAGTGACTGAAAAATAATTTAACAAATAAATAGCAACAGAAATAAAACAATAATGGCTGTCATTTCACTTTTGCTAATATAACGAATAGCTGTGGTTCAGTAAAACAGTAAAATATTAAGTGTTTTGTGCAAGAAATAAAACATTCTTTGTGGAAACCATAGAATCTCACATTAATAAAGTTATCCTTTTGTAAAATAAATGTTTTAGAATTGAATTTCACATTAAATATGTCATAAAGAAATATAAAACCCACAAACAACAATTTGTACACACTTGCCTATTGAATAGGATCTAAGCTCATTATTTACATTTGTTATGGAAGCCCCCCCCCCCCCCATGGCCCGCACCCCCTCCTGTTTKCAGTGCTTTATCAAACAACAGACAAAGTTGTTTAATTTTTTCTAAAGCTATATCTGATTCTTACGGAGCCCGCGAGGGGACATGGGTTTTTTTCTTCTGCTTTCCCACGCAATACTATTGTGTTACCTTGCAATACTTTTGCGTTACCTCGCAATATCTTTGCGTTACCTCGCAATACTTTTGCATTACTTCGCAAAACGTTTTGTAATGCCTCACAAATGTTTGTTTTGTATATGAACTGAATTAAATCAGGCTTTTACTTTGAAATATCCAGTTACAAAACAGGACGTGTCGCCACAAGTTTGTGAAATTGACATTGATGTTGCGTGGCTGCACTGTGTTAAAATATCAACATATGACATACTTCCATGCGTGGCTGTGTGATATATTCATTCTGAAGCTGAATTAAAGCAGTAGGCTAACTCGATAATGGTGAATATGTGCATTTGTTAATAAACCGGCAGGCACAACAGTGAAAAATGACTTTTGCGAGGGAACGCAAAAGATATTGTGAGGTAACGCAATAATATTGCGTGGAAACGCAAAAGAAAAAAATCTCCCATGTCCCCCCGTGGGCTCTGTGGTTATGCACACACAACAAAATCTTGGATAAACTCCCAGCTTCTGAGTGTTCAGGAGTTTGAAGCTTGTCTGTCTCAGCTCGCTGTTTGTGATGTGACTCAGACAGGAAGCAGTATTCATGTTTTCTTATGCATCCAGCTCATTGTGTGCTAACAAAACTTACAGAAAAGTTCTTCTCCAGATAAATAAAGAACCGTTGGGACATTGTTCTGTCCTAAACGCAATGCAAAGCTTCATAATTTTGGAGGACATTTCTGTTTTAATGAGTCTGTTTTGCCATGAATCACGGCTCACTTCTGTTTTTTCCTCACTCTTTGTGTTGGGAGGGGAGCTTCGAGTTCACCCCACACCTGTCAGCAGSTAATGGCAGGTACAGGGAGCAGCAGCGGCCAAAATACTTCAGAAACTCGCCCAAATAATCAAATTCTGTGAGATTCAGCATTTTATTCTGGATTACATTTTATTTGGTCAATTCCGCTATTTTGTCGGCATGTCCTTAGCAACTTATAAACAGATATGGGGCAGGAGAAGGTGGATTCTGATTGGCTGTTGTTCTGCACATTTCTGGCATGTTTGATTGAATAAAGGGGCTCACAGCTGATCATCGTAATTGACCTGAAATTTTTCTCGACCAGAACCACAGAAACTTGGGGTTGGTGTGGGACGGCAGACATTTCCATGTTCATTTCAGTTTTGATACATCTAGAGTTTTGAATGAAAAAGAACCTGCAAGGTTTTTGTGCATACGCACTGTTGATACATGAGGCCCCAGATCTCTCTAGCCACTAGCTGCGTTTCCATTGCAAATGTGTGCAAAACTTTGTCAATATTCTGTAAATGTCGAAAAACACAGTTTCGCAACTGCAGTGTTTACATTAAGTAAGAAATGCTATTAAAGTCACGCGTGAATATGTTTGTTCTCGCGATGTCATTACAAACATGGCGATGATAAATGTAAACACATAGCATGTTGCTACCACGACACTAGCGCTCATCATCAGAGGAGACGTCGGCGTCTTTTATCGAGGCTTTCCAGAGACAAGTCCCGACTTGGGAGCAGCTACGTATGTTGTGTTTTTGGGATATTGTAGTCGGTGAGTTTAATACTTTTACTACTTATGTGATATTACTACTACTTCTGCTTCCTGTTATCTTCTTCGTCATCGTGTTTTTCACCAGTAGAAACAGCCGGTTGTTGATCACGTGACTCCCGTGACGCGAAAAAAGTGTTTCCATTGCAGTTTTGTGAAAAACACCAATTTCGATACAACCAAAATACCACCTCATCCTAGCGCAAAAACATTTTGTCGAAAAGCGTAATTTTTTTCTAAATTGACGTGTTTCCATTGAGCAAATTTATTTTCAAAATTCTAATTTGCGCATTTTCATGGTCAATGGAAACGCAGCTACTGTTAGTATTTGTTGATATCAATATATATTTCACATATCTTCTAATCTCTCTTTCACTCTTTCTCATTACATATCACTTTTTTCTTTCTCTTTCCTTTTCTCCTCTTACAAAAAAAAAGCCGCTGATGATGAAGGAGCTAAGATACTAATTCAGATATTCAGTTCTGCTTTCTACTGAAGTGGCAAAGGGGAAAAAAGGATTTATTGATATCAGCTGTTTCCTCAATCTGTTGGTGGTACATGCCATGCAGGGCTTATCTTTCCATGATGTGTCCTCTAGTTCCTCCTCTTCCACATTGAGAACGTGCAAACTCTACACAGAAAGACCCCGGGTCTGAACCGGGGATCGAACCCAGGACCTTCTTGCTGTGAGGCATCAATGCTAACCACTTAGCTGTTGTGCTGCCCACACAAGACTGTAAGCAAGATGTGAAAATGAAAGTATATAAATCAGCCTTAAGAATGACTTCAGTTCTTAGATAAGCCACATTTTAGTTAGGCTTATTATCCATGTTCAGCTTTTCAGCATTAAAAATCTGTCTACTACACAAATCATGAAAAATTTGAGACGTTTCTTATCAGTTTCATTCTTGGTGTTTTGGTCGGTTTCAGCTCCACCAGGCATAGTTATCCTGAATTATTCATTCATCAGTTTATCTTCGATTGTTGAGGACTTTTCTTCATTGCAGTTATCAAGATTGTTTTACTTCCCGTCCTAGCGACAAGTGCACTGCAGTAGTATGACAAGATAAGCCAATGAAGGTCAGCTAAAGGTTTTCAGGGGGTGTCATGTTGCTTTCTAACCACATTTTCCTGTGACCTTTACTAAGTGGTTTTAGTGGCTTGATGCCCAGATGTTGTAAGAATACCAAATGTAGAAACAGTGGCTGACATTTCCCTCATGCTTTTAACTTCACTGATGAAACTGATTTTTTTATTACCTCTGACAAAATATTTTAGCTACATAAAACAAGTCAAACCATTAAAAGTAGTATTTAAAGGACTAAATGTTTTCTTAAACAACATATGTGCAACACCTACACTAGGATATGTCTGTGTTTATGTATTTAGAAAAGCATGAATTAATCCCAGGTGCCATTGTAGTCAAGCACTTGTTGTTTATCATCATGATGACAGCGTCCACTTTGTCTTACAGAGATGAACCAATACATCTGGTTTCCTCTGCACAAAGCTCCACCCTTTATTTATTTATTTTTTGGGATTGGGGAGTGGGGGTTAACTCATCTTAACTAGAAATAATCAGGCTCCTTAGTTGTTGGCAAAGAAAACATGATTAAATAAAAAAGACTTCAATACTGCATTGAAGTGGAACAAACTTTAATGCTCATTTTATTGTTTTTATATATAAAACAAGACAAATACAGTAATGCTAATTTCCAGTTCATTGCTAGTATTGTTAGCTAAAAGGGAGCCACGGACATTTGAAGTACACTGAGGTACAATGACGTTTGATCTTAGCTGAGGATCACATTTTGTCATCATGCAGTGCTGTATGCAGAGTTTTTTTTTTTTACACATTGTGACTTTTATTGTGACACTCAAATTGCACATATTCCAACAAGGCTACTGCTGTAACTTTTTAATATTTTTAAATAAAAATATTCCAGAATCTGACCAAAATGTTAGGTTTTCTTTGTTCAACTAAACTGATTGAAAGTGATCTTTTTAATTTTGTGTCATGTTGTGAACAAACACCTGTACTACTTTATGACTGAACCAAAGTACCCAGAGAAAACCCATGATTATACATGACACATGACGTTTGGTTGTGGTTTATTATGACCCCGCACGTGAAGCGTAAGTGGGAGTCATATTGTTTTTGTACTGTTTATTTTTTTGTCAACTGTAGCACAAAAACGGCTGCACCAATCAACATGAAATTTGGCAGGACTGTAGATGAGTCTGACCTACACTGCACCAGCCAACGGTTTTACGATACACCCCATTTTTGAGGAAGGGGCTCTTTCAAAGATGGGGGTGTCAGGACATGCAAAAATGCTTATAACTCAGAAACTGTTCAACATAGAAGCTTCAGATTTCTTTTGTTGTTTAGCTCTGATGAAGCTCTATCCATCAGGCCCACAATCGCACCCCCAAATAAATAAATAAATAAATAAATAAATAAATAAATAAAT